AAAATAAGAAATTTCCAACACTTAGAAAATTTTCTAAGTTTAGAAATTTTCACTTTTCAAAATGAATTTTTGAATTTTTGATTTCTTGATGAATAAGTTTCATATTTTGACATGCTTTGATGAATTGTGATCTTTGGCATTTTATTTTGACCAAAAAGTCAAAGTTTGACTTTTCAGTATACAGTTGACTTTTGATCAGTTGACTGAAAATTCATCTGTCAATCCATTAGACTTGAGAAATGTTTTGAGCCATGTCATTAGGTCAAAATGATGCAATTGGACTCTTGAGATCATTCCTTAAACCAATTGATCATTTGCTAGGTCAAAAATCAGAAATTGTCATTTCCTAGTCAAAACCCTAATTTTGACCATTTTCCCTTTTGAAGATTTGATCAAATTTCTTGAGGAATTATGGTCCAAACTTGATCAAATGATACATATGAGTTAAAATGTTAATGTGGATCAAAAATTATGAAGTTTGACTGTAAATTGACCATAGTTGACTTTTTCTCCAATACAACTGATTTTTTAGGTCAATTGTTCAATTGATTGAGCAAAAGTGTGAGCCAAGGCTTGAAACTTGACATGAGAAATCTTGAGTGTACATAATGACCCATGAAAGTCATATGGGGCATTGGAAGTTCAAATATCCTTGTTCAATCTCAAACCCTAATTTTGGTCATCAGTGCTTAAGGAGGTGTCTTGAGCTGATCAACCCTAGTGCAGTCTTGAGCCAAAGGAGATCTGGTGGGCAAAATCTTAATAAGTGAGAGGGAAAATTTTGGGGTACAACACTAAAGACTCAAGTTTCTAAATACCCAAGGTTCTAAAGTTAAGGGTTCTAAAGACCAAGTGATGAAGACTCTAAAGACAGAAGTTCTAAAGATTCTAAAGACTTGAAGTTCTAAAGGCCCAAGGTTCCAAGAAAAGGTTCTCACAACCAAGTGTTGAAGACTCTGAAGACACAGTTCTGAAGACTTGAAGTTCTGATGACCTTGTGTTATGTTCTCGCTTCTAAACTCATGCTCGCGGAAGCCTCTGAAGTGCAGAAGGAAAGAAGATAACATTAATGTGGTACAAATCGTACATAGTACAATCAACGTTTCATTCCACTACCATGAAAGCACGGATGCGTAGCACGATCTTGTCCCCCATGTTATTGTTCAAGTTGCCAATGTTTCTGGAAATCCCAAGAGTATCCCTTAATTATATAATTTTATTATCTATATAAAGGCTTGAAGACTAAGAGAGAAAGCGACTAATCAACGAAATGTCCATGCACAAAGAGTTGTTCATAGCTTTCTTATTCTTAAGTCATTGTTCTTAAAATAGTTTACATATTCAGCTTGTGTAGAAGTAATATTCTTGTAAATAAAACTTGTATGCAAATGATTTTTTGATTTTCCTTAAGGGACCAGGTAGGTCTGTATCCTTAAGAAGTCTAGGACTTGTGAGTTTAGAGGTTGTTAGTCACTTGCGGGTAGCTTGTGTATTGTAATAATCAGGTTGATTATTGTTTGATATTCCTTAAGGGATCGGGTAGGTATGTATCCTTAAGAAGTCTAGGACCTGCGAGTCTTAGAAGTTGTTAGTCACTTGCGGGTAGCTTGTGCAAATTGTAATAAGTTTGGTTATAGTGAATTAAGTTCTCGATTGTGTGAGCCGAAAACACCTTGGCGGATGGAATAGACTAACTTGATAATTTTCGAGTGAACTGGTATAAACATACCTTGTTCTTTATTTCCTGTTCTTACTTATTGTTATTATTAAGAGTAAAGGAAAAAGTATTTTAACTTAAAGGGGAATAATATTTTTATAGAAAAGTTTTTTAATTTAAAATCCAATTCAAACCCCTCCCCCTTTCTTGTGTTTTTCACACCTTAACTTATTCCCCAGAGAACCCGACCAAGGTGTCGTTGAAGGATAATAGTTCAAACATATCGAATTCCATTCCCTTGAAGGAATCCCAATAGAGTACATCGTTTGAGCTATCGGGGTCCACTAGCACCCTTTTCACGCTCCAATTCTGGATTTGTACCTTGCTGACCATAGGATCATTTTCGTGGGCCATAATGTCGACCGCATCTTTTCTGGCGAAGCTAACTGGGTTGAGGTCCTGTTCCTGAACCTTGGTTGTGTCCTCGGACACATGCATTATGGCGCGGGCGTATTTCTTTCTGGTCGAGCTGATTTTGCCGCCGCCTGCAAAACCACCATGATGGTGTTGAGGGTGTGGCGAGTTGTTTTGGTCTCGTGCACTTCTTCAATATCTCTTTTACCAACTGGGGTTTTTCCATATTTGACATACGTTAGAAGGTGCTCCTTCTGTATCAATTTCTCGATTTATTTCTTTAGCTGGAGGCAATCGTCAGTATGATATCCCTGGAACCGGTGATAATTACATCAAGCCCTAACGTCATTCCCCAATATGGAATCGACTTTCCATTTACGGGGCGCTTCCGGGATTAGGTTCAGGTGTGCTACCTCTTGTAAGATTTTGCCTCTCCTTATGTTTAAGGGTGTTCTCGTGTCGCTTGAATCAAAGGGATGTCGGCTAGGTCTCTGAGTTATGCATTCCCGGGGCCTATCTCTCGAGGTCACCCAAGAAGATTCATGTTTCCTTCATGGCCCTTCTTCTTTGGTCTTTCTTCTCTCCGGAGCGTCCCTGGACAGCTTTTCCAAGTTACTCTCCTCCCTTTTTATGTATCATTTCGCTCTGGTAATGATTTCATTCATGTCGGATGCGGGCTTCTGAGCTAAGGATTCATTGAACTGTCCTACTCGGAAGCCATGTTGGAATGATTCAACGAATAACTCTTAGTTTGAATGAGATACTTTGATGGTCTCTTTGTTGAACCGGGCTAAGTATTCCCGGAGAGACTCTGCTTGACCTTGTCGGACGTTGAACAAGGATGTTGTGGACACCTTGCAGTGCTTGTTGGCGGAGAAGTGGATTAACTTCTTCGTCAGGTTCGGGTAGCTTTCCACAAATAGTCATGGCAGGCTCATGTACCACCGTATGGCCACATCCTTGAAGGTTTCGGCCATTAGTTTATACTTTAGTGAGTTAGTGGGGCCTATTATCTCCATTTGGTTGTTGATGGAAATAATGTGCTCCCGAGGATCAGTTGTACCATCGTATGCTGTCAATGATGGTGATTTGAAGTTCTCTGGGACTTGGTCGTCCCAAATAGCTTGAGATAGAGGTCGAGGTTCCAGAAACTCCTCTTTTGGGTCTTCTTCCCCTACGCTTCTTTTTTATAGGTTTGTGACGTTGTCCTGCAGAGTTTTGTTTTGTTGCCTGAGGGCCTCCACCATGGTTAGTAGTTGTGTCATGTCTGCGGGGTCTCCAGGTGACGGTATTCTGCAGAAGGTGAATTGAGGTGTGGCCTAGGAATAATTTTACCAAGGCCCCACAATGGACGCCAAATGTTCTTGTGTAGAACAAATATTTGGCCGACTTCCTAGGAGGTTGCTAGGAAAAGCTTACCGGAGTGAGATTATGGGATGATTAGAGGATTTGTGAGCTATGTTAGCGAAGCGTGTGTCCCAAGATGAATGTATTACTTATCCCTCTTGCGGAAGCCCCTTTATATAGTGTGTATCTTTGCGTCATCAAGAGCCTTAGTTAATGAGTGACTCTTGAGTTCTATAACTCTATAACCTTCACCGTTCCCATGAATGGTGGAATCAAAGTTGTGTAACATTGTAATGATTGTACCGTCGGAGGTTACATGCATTAATGAGCCGAGGTGATGACCGGTCACGAGCAGGTACGTCCCGACTACCTTCTCTATTCGGGTCGATGATGATAACAGATTGACATTTGGGTCCATGGATCATCTGATACTCCCTTAGTCGAGTTGCACCCCAGATACCTTCGCCCCGAGTCGACTATTGTTTTAACCTTTCTCCTTGCCGATTATACTACCCGATTGAGTCTATTATTTCTGAGATGTACATAACTTAATGCTCGATTTCTACGAATGTATATTGAAATAAAAAAGTTTAGAGAAATCACAAACTTATCAAATGTGAAGTTAATTTGATGTTGAGCTCTTTGATCAATTTGATGTTGATGGAAGAAATTTTGAAGTGAGTCGAATGATTTTAAAAGAATGTGAGTTGAGAGAATTTCAAACTTGAGAGGTTGAGAATTTGAGAAAATATTTTGAGAGGTTAAGCAGTGAAGAAGTAAAAAATATCTGACAATTTTTTTTGTTAAATATATCTTTATAATTTATACGGAGAGACATTTTTATAATTGTTTTTAACTTAACATTAGAATCAAATTCTTAACGAATGTATTTGAGATGCATTTAAAAGTATTTTTAGTTTTTTAGGAGGATGTGGAATGTAACCAACCATCCTTAGATCTAATTCCATAATTTAGAGTCATGAATACAAAATCTTATATTATAGAGCTTTCCACATTAATGACATGTAAGTATATAATAATGTGATTAGTTACAATTATAATGTGAGATGTAATAATGAGTATGAGAATATAATAAAAAGGATTACGATTTTAATAAGCCTATGTTGGTACAAAATGTGACTAGTTTGCATTTGACAAGATATTAATTAAAAGAAATGAGAGATTTTAAGGCATAAATAAAAAGAATTTATGGTAACCGCACCGCACCGCACCTGATTGCAATCGAATTGAATGCAGTGGGGACCGTGGATGGAGAGAAACACAAGGAATCTCGATCACCCACCCATTCATCCATCGCTATCTTTTTTAATTTCCAAATTCAGTGTAGCTTCCGCTTATATTGAATTATTTATATACGGACAAAAGTCAGTTATTATATTTTCACATTAAAACAAATTACATTTAAAGTTGTGAACCTATTTTTCAAAAGCTGTTATATCGGAAAGTGATAGATCAGATATTCATTAAATAGTTTTAGTCAATATTTACTAGTATTTATTTAAATTGAAACTACAATAGTTACTACATAGAGAGATAGAGAGAGAGAAGTTGAAAAGTAAAGATGGATGATGATGAACCGCTTACTCCAGCCGGGAGGCTGTTCCTTCAACCACAGATGAACCAAGTAATCCACTGCGTAGTAGGGCTAAAGAACAGCGTGGATGTTGATGCAATCATGACGGAAATTGACAACTCTCTTATACTACAACATCCAAGATTCACTAGCCTCATGATTCGTGACCATCGAGGCGTTGAGCACTGGCGTCCAACCAAAATTGACCTCAGCCGCCATGTACTCATCATCGACCATCCAGTCTCCGACGCCGTCAACGATCAATCGGCCATCAACGACTATGTCGCCGATTTATGCACAACACCCAAACTCAGCATGGATAAGCCACTCTGGGAGATCCATATCCTAAAAGCACACAAGTGTCTCATATTTCGAATTCATCATTCACTTGGAGACGGAATTTCACTCATGTCACTGCTTCTCGCAAGCTGTAGGAAGCTCCACGATCCCCACGCGCTTCCAACCATATCTACTCCCACCATTAAATCTCGCCGCACTTTGTGGAATCTTCTCACTGCCTTATTCTTTTCTTTTATATATCTGTTCCAATTTATGCTCAGGTGTCTGTGGATTCGTGACCACAAAACTGCCATATCGGGTGGCGACGGTGTTGAACTCTGGCCAAGGAAGATCGCCACGGCTAGTTTTTCATTGGAAGACATCAAGACTGTGAAAACTGCCGTTCCTAACGCGGTAAATTATTCATTACCTTTTTCCTTTACTTTACTATTACTACTACTCCATTTTCATTCATTCTAATTATTACTGTTATATTAATAATAATAAAATATGGTACAGAAACGGATAGAACATAAATCATGCTTCTATTGTGGGCCACAATTCTTACTGAGTCAATTTATTTTCGCTTTTGATTATTGTCTACATTAGTTTGTTTTTTAGTTTATGCCTAAGCTTTGACCCAAAAAGGAATACTATAGGAGTGGGTAAAAAAGCTCTAGAAAAAAAAGTTTATAATATATGTAACTCAACAATCAAGTAGTCAGCAATAGACAACCGCAGCTGTACCAGTACCCTCTACGTAATCTCTTTTTTTTTTTATACAAGGAAAGAGTTCAAAGAAAGAAAACTAAGAAATTTAAATGATTTTAGAACAAATTGAAAAGCTTTTCAAAGGGGATGAATCAAGAAAAGATTAGATAATTTTTTTTAAATAAAAAATAAAAAATGCTAAATTAATATTTATTATTAATATATTATTAATATTTAAATTATAATAACATCCTGTAGTTTATTAATCATAGTTTATTAATGAATATAAATTAAACTTAAAGAATTTATTTAATTGCTTCAAAAATCAAAACTGTCTAAAATTATCTAAAACTCATCCAATATAATGAGTCTCTCAAATTTATTAATTATTTCTACTCCAGCTATATATTTTTCAAAACGCTCCCCGCTTTTCTCACGCACAAAAAAAAAACTTAGAAAAATGTTAAAGTTCTAAGAAGTCAACACTCGTATTGCATTTGTGTCAAGTATGATTGAATCATTATATTTTAAACTAAGTATATTATGAGTGCCGTGAACAAAAAATCAGATATTTGTGTTAAACTTGTAATTATTGAAGACCATGTCTATAAGAATCTAAAAATCGCTTTCTACAAGGATATGAGATATATTCTCTCCAACTCCAAATATAAGCCTCACATTTTGGCACGAAGGGCATCACATGTTCTAATCTTTCTAATGTAGCCTTTAATCTATCTTCCATCATCATTCTTAAAAAGCTGAGTCACCACAACTTGCAATTTCTCCTATCTTTGCAAGCACTGTCACTGTCACTGTTTTGTTTGATCCATCTCTCACGCGGTCGGTAGCTTCGATGTTTACATTCTTCTAATGGATTTCTGAATGAGCAGAGTTACTTATTCTTTTGAAGTCAGCTTCAAAAATTGTTTTATTCCTCTACTTACCACAAGTAACAACACCTCGTCATATAAGTGGTATGCCTTCTGATTATTGTTGTCTCATCCTCTGTTTTGTTGAGACTATTGAAAAACTTATTCCTACAATTAAAAGAAAAGAACTCAACAATAAATTTGGAGGGTACACAATGAAGCCATACCCGAGTTGCATGAATACATTCCAGGAGTACATCATCTCCACTGCTACAACTTGGTCACCAAGGAAAAATTCCAATTCTCTATCTGCCATGAGTAGCCAACCAGATAAATGTTTGAATGCAATGAGGGTTCTGTTGGATGCTAGATTTATAAGTGAGGAGACCTATTTACCTAATGCTTTAAAGTTTTGGCAGATATTGTGGTCTTATTGTGGTCCTAAGTGGCCTAAAATTAATGTGCCTACCACCATCCCCAACTTGCCACCACAATGCGATTGTCGTTACATGGCAGAAAAAGTAATCCTTCCAGCCAAACTCAAACACTTTGCTTCCATCCACTTTATTTACTTTGAATTATATTAACTATATGGTTGAAATGATCTCTAGAGCTCCTCCCTAGAGCTATATTGGCTCCAAAATATCTGCCCAAGCGGTGAAGCATGTATGCTATCAAATATCCCCGAGAAGAAGATTATTGATATCTTTGAAAAAATACACCCAAGTCTATGGCCTATTAATCTTTTTGACTTGAGGCTTGGCAGAAAGTGTCAATGCAATGCAAAACGCATTGGGCCTGTTCAATGGAGGCTTCTGCGATAGTTTGGTTTAGTTAAATTTGCACCTTAAGGACATAATCCATTAAAATTTGTAGATTTCTTTTGTTTTCGGTTTTCCATTGGTTTATGTTGTGGATTAAATTGAGATAAACATGATGGCTTGATAATACTTTTTAAAAATCTTATTCAATTAACATTAAATTCATGTTGATGAGCACCTAAAAAGCAGCGTTTGTCCAATAAGTTGTTAATAGTGCACAATCTAAATATTATTAGCATTTTTCTTATGTTAATATCAAGTGTGTGCTTATATACTCTCATCATTATTATTTTTTGCTTTTCACGATTTTACACACATAGTGGAATTATGGAATCGAATGAGATTCAGTTTCCGTCTCTTTAGAGTTCACATATGAAGAACCGATTGGCATATTTTAATTGAAATAGTTATCATTAATGGACATGCCTTTGGTTTGTTGCACTTAATCTGGATGATAATGTGACAAGATACAACCTTGTTTTTGCAATATTCAAGTAATGTTTGAGAACTTATTTTCCTTCTTGTGCTGTTTTTGATCTGCAGACCATAAATGACGTTCTATTTGCAGTTATATCATCTGGGATATCAAGATACCTGGACTTCAGAGAACCTAATGGTAAATTTAAAAGACATTTGAATAAACAGATTTTTACAGCTTCTCTTTCTATTTTATATACGCATAAAGTGAAACAATTACCACTGTTTTTTCCCTCTAAGGGCTGCGAGACGGTGTTCAGCTAACAGGGTTGGCTATGGTTAACTTGAGAAAGCAGCCAGGATTGCAGGTCTACTATTCTTTTTATTAGTAATGGTTCTAATTTGGGCTTAGAATATTATAATGTTGATGTTAGATAATTGTCAGGAACTGTCCAATTTGATGAAAAGCAATTCAGGGGCAAAGTGGGGCAACAAATTTGGTATGATCCTACTGCCTATATATTATCACGGAAGCAAGAATTCAAATCCTGTAGAATATTTGAAGAGAGCTAAAGTAATGATTGACAGAAAGAAAAAATCTTTGGAGGCCCATTTGTCATACAAAATTGGAGATTTAGTAATGTCCACTCTTGGTCCAAAGGTGCATTTTCTGTTTTTAGATGGATTATGAGTTACAGTGTGAAGTCTGAAGTATTTATTATTATTATTATTTGAAAATTGCAGCTTGCTAGTTTGCTAAATTATAGGATACTCTGCAACACTACCTTTGCATTCTCAAATGTTGTTGGCCCACAAGAGGAGATTATGATTGCAGGCAATCCTGTAACGTTCTTAAGGGCAAATAACTCTGCCTTGCCTCATGTACAGTATAATCTCTTAGCTAAATCTGTTTTTCTTCGTAGCGTAGAGCATTTGGTTAATGGCTGGTGGTTGTTATTGATAATGTAGGCACTTGTTTTGCTTATGGTGAGTTATGCTGGAAAGGCAGACATGCAAGTGCAGGTGGCCAAAGACATCATTCCGGATCCTGAGTTTCTTGCCAAGTGCTTTGAAGATGCATTACTTGAATTGAAGGAGCACGTTACAGCCAAAATTTGACATAAGTGTTGGAGAAAATGTATTCCTTGGACGCGGGACAACAAATGTTAACATTGCTCACATTAACTGTGATATCACAACCATGATTATACACACTTGTAGACGAATAGTGAATAAAGAGAGACCCCTAAACTAGATGTACTGTTTTATATTATAAAAAATCATCAATTATTAATAATAAGAAAACTGGTGCCTACATAAAACAATTTTACCTGCAATATTTGAAAGGGTTAATGAATTTTTATTTTAAACTTCGTTTTTAATTTCTCTAAAAATTTTCTTTAAAGAATGGTTTCTCTTAAAAATTTAAACTTTAATATTTGGTCTATCATGACAAAATTGTAGTTAAAGTAGTTTTTAATTCTGTCGCTAAATTAAAAACTATCGTTAAAATCGTTGTTAAATTTTAAAAATTATCGTTAAATTGCAGGAAAGACCAAAAGTTAAATTTTAATTTTTTAAGTGAATCATTCTTTGAAGAAAAATTTTAGAGGGACTAAAAATAAAGTTTGAAATATATCAATAGTGCTTGATTAGAGAAGACAAATGGTTGTCTAATGTTGAATATATCAATTAAAGGATCATAAAGACAAATGCTCATGGCAATGAGGACAAATAGTCCGAGGACGATTACGACCTAAAGATACTTCTCTTCATTTAAACGCCAATCCTAGATGACGACTTTATTCTCGTCGACCAAATTGTTAAAATTAGGGTGAATCTCTTGAAGTACGTGGAGGACAGATTCATGAGGTACCTCAAGACAAATGCAAACCTATTTTCATGCTCCCCCAATGAGATATCACGCATTCTACCTAGTATAATGCTAAGAGAAGATATTACATGTCACTAGAGAAGGTCGGGGCTACCAAGAACTTAGTGGACCAACTTTATCTTAGAATTGAACTATACAAAGTGGCTCTCAAGCACTGGGCTAGTGAAAAAATCATGTGGCAAATGACGTACGTACCTGCGTCAACTACACTAATCTGAATTGAGCGTGTCCCAAAGATGAGTACCCTTTGCCTAACATAGATAAGCTAGTAAACAATTTAGCATGTTGTGTATAAGTGTGAATTGTTAGTCCCACAGTGTTTGGAAAATAGGAGGTTGAACACTTTATAAATGAGATGACTCATACACATATCACCTTAAGATTTTAGATGAATATGTAGTATCTCTTTAACTTGTGTGTTTCTCTTGACCCAATGTAGATGCTCTTCATGATAATCCAACATAACCGACTACGATGTCTTGTCCTTTATGGATGCCTATTTTGGATACAACCAGATCTCCATGCACGAGAAAGACTGAAACAAGACAACATTCACGATTGAACACACCAACTATAGTATAATGCCATGCCTTTTAGTTTATAAAATGCAGGTACGACCTATGAGAGAACGACATGCATGATATTCAAGAATGAAATTAGAGACATTTTAGAGGTCTACATGGATGGTATGATAGTAAAATTTGGGGAGGAGAAAATACATTAATGCCACCTAAGTGCAATGTTTAATCATGTAAATGAGTTCAACAAAGGCTAAACCCTAATAAATGCATGTTCTGAGTAAAGACCGACTAGTTCCTTGACTTCTACCTCATTGAAAGAGACATCTAACCAAATTCGGACAAATGTGACACCATCATCAAGATGGAAAATCTTTCAATAAAAGAGCAAATAACGAAGCTGAAGGGTGTGCTCAACGCCCTCAATAGATTCATCTTCGGGTATCCAACACACACTCTTGAGGAATGACGTACACTTTTAATGGACACCAGAATGAAAACTAGCCTTTTGTTAGTAGCAACAAAAATAAGTATTGTTTGTATCGTTTTCACAAGGACTGGTGCGAGAATCGAAGGTGGTTCGAAAATCTATATTCTAAGTACAATTATTTGAAAAGATTTATTTTGTAACTTAGTTAAAAATAACAGTGAATGAAAATCAAATTTTGACAGATGAAATTGAGATTGTTAGAATTAGATTCATCCTCGTGTATTTTCTTGATCAATTATATATGTTATTAGGCATCGATTAATTTATATCACCTATCACTTTACGTCTATTGTTTATGTATAAACAACAATATGAAATCAGTCGTATTGCCTAATAGACAATTTCTCATTCGGTTAACCTACATGACAACATTAAGATTCGACATATATGTGAATGTTAAACCTAAATATGTATCTAAAGTTTAACATCTAACAAATGAAAAAAATTGATCTAGTTAAGAAAAATATCTTTCAATATAATTTCAAAACAATTATAACAAGTTATAACTAGCTAATTCATAAGAAGCATTGAGAACAAAGATAATCATCAATATTAACGAGTAAGAAGAATATACATAACACTATGATCAATATAAATACATGAGTATTTGAATAACTTCATTTAACTCCAACAAAAGAGAATTTAGTTACTCTTACTCATAGTAGCTTTACAATGATGACTAGGAAGAAAGATGAAAAAAAATCCACAATGATTTCTCAATCATACAGAGCCTCTACCTTCAGTTCTTCAATATTTTTCTTGGAAACTTTTCTCTCAATTCTCTCTTGTTGTAAAAAAAATTAATTAACACAATATGGACTTGTTTACAGTGAATTTTAGTAAACAAACACTAGTCTTTAAAATGTGTTACTTGTTGTCATACCCCAAAATTGTCCTACCTCGACGATTTTATTTTTCGAGATTAAAATAGAAGAAATATTTAATTAAGGATGGTACATCAGTTTCTGATGGTCCATCTTTATCCAAGACTAGGGGTGTATTTTAATTAAGGAAAGTGGGGATTTCTAAATCAGAAAGACTCATGTATCAGTGAACTCATTCACGTGGCATGTTGGCAAATGGCTCATGTGATTCAAAAATGTAAAGTTATTTCAGAATAATAACTACTAAATAGTTGTTATTATCGAAATTAAAATTTCTATTAATTAATAATTAAACTTATTAAAGACATTTAGGTGTTAATTTGTTGTTAGTAAAAAAAGGGGTACGATTACACATTTACAGTCCCATTGAGCTTCTTTAGTTGGCTCATTTACATTTTGTTATTCAAACAGCAAAAAGGGGGGAGTTTATAGAACAGAATCGCGGATTTGAACAAAATTGAGAAAGAGACGAAAGCTTGAAGACAGAGGGAGAAGATCCAGTGCCGTTGTTGAAGAAGAGAAGGACGATTGGGGTTTCATTATCTGAAACCATAATCGTCGTTGCTAGCCGCTTCCGCCGTATACCATCATCTTCAACCTCTCATCACCGGGAACCACCGCTCGCAAGGCCTACAAAATTAAAGAAGGAAAAGAGATTAGTACCAGATCCAATACAATATCTCAATCGCTACAGAGGGTAACTTAGCTTGTTTTTTTTAGTTTTTTTATTGTTGATTGGGGATTTAGGAAAGGGGTTTGGTGAGCCGCCGTCGTGGGTGGATATTTAGGGTTTGAGAGTGAAAGGGAAGAGGGTTGTTATGCGAGAGAGAGAGAGAGAGAGAGAGAGAGAGAGAGAGAGAGAGAGAGAGAGAGAGAGAGAGAGAGAGAGAGAGAGAGAGAGAGAGAGAGAGAGAGAGAGAGAGAGAGAGAGAGAGAAAAGGCTGTGAACTGAAGCAACGAATGAATAAAATATAAAAGATAAAAACAAACTCATGTTCCGTTCAAATCCAGTACGTGCGCATACATCCTAATTATCATACTCCCTCGTTATCATTCGCTAGATCATGATCGGACGACCGTAGGCCAAGTCCCATCGTAACTTTGATGCTCCTTCACCCACGTAACCCAACCGACCCTCTCAATTTACTGAATAGGCCAGACCCAACTAACTTTTACACACCCCTAGATCATAATTAAATTATTTTATTTTTTACTTTTAATTATATCTTCTCTCATATTATTTATTTTCTATTTATAATTATTATTATTAGTAATATTAAGTATCATGTTTTTTTAATATTATTATTATAATTATTATCTATTAATTTCTTTTTTTCTATTTACTATTATTTTATTTACTATGTAAATATTATTTATTTCTTATCCATGTGTAAATATTAATATTATTTATTATATCATTTAAATTGTTTTATTCTAAAATGCATTCTTATATTATTTACATCAAATATTTTTTAATCATTCATTAACAAGATTTTTTGCAGTTAATACGATTAAAAAACACTCAACAAACAACAAATTATTTTTCACAATCAACTAAGTTATCAATTGTTTTTGCAAAAGGGTTTCAAACAGATTTTGACTAACCGCGCATTTAGTCAAAATCTCCGCAATCACTACTCCCGGTCAAAATGCGAGGTGATTCAAAGTACGTTTGTGATCCCTAAAAACACCAACCCCATACGAACTACGAATTGAGACTTTGATTCCTCTTAAGAGGATACATAGGCATACGATCAAAAATCGTAGCGAGTTCTCCTATTAAAAATTAAAACTCCTTCCCCTATAAAAAATTTAAACCCTTTCCTCCTAATTAAAATTTAAAACCCCGTTTACCCCAACTCAAACTTAAAACCTAGTATCTTTGTGAACAAGGTAGATGAAAGGTGCCTAACACCTTCCTTTCGTCTAAAGAAGTCCGGAACCTAGAATCCCTGTGTGTGAATTAGGGTTTTCTGTTAGATTCCCTTCCCTAGGATAAAAACTAATAGTGGTGACTCTGATTAAAAACCAGTTGCTACAGTTGGCGACTCTGCCGGGGACTCTCCTTAACCCTAGGTTTTAGGTCTCTTTTGGGTTTTTATTTATATTTATTTATTTTCATTAATTTATTTATTGCATTTTTTTATTCATTGTCTTTTTTTTCTTTATTATTATATATTTACAATGTGGAGGGTTTTATTTCAAAATAATATTTTCGATAACCCTTAGAGAGAAGGTTCGTCTATTAGCTTAGGGGATACATCATCCATGCGAGTTATGTGACGACTTTGCCTAGAGTCGGTGAACTTCCAAAAATGGAATACTTATCGAGA